GAGTGCCTGGAGAAGTTGTTGGCAATCTTCCCAAGTGGGTTGGTGGGTAAGAAGAATAGACTCAATTAAAGCAGTTAAAGCCTGAGGGTCCTGAGAAAAAGAAGGGTTATGAGTCTTCCAATTATACAAATCTGAGGCTGAGAAAGGCCAGTATTGGATCTGATCCCCTACAGTTCGGAGGGGAAAAACCTGGGCAGTCCAGGTTCCACCAGAAGGACCCCCTCTATCTCCTCAGGTGAATTCTGCTAGATGGAGGGGGAGATTGGTCAGGTTCGGTGGAATCAGGAGAGGGATGAGGTAGTTCTTGGGGTGGGGGTGCCTGCGCAGGTGGATAGGGAGGTGGAGGATCAAGGAGGGTTAAGGAGGCTTGGTCCTCAGGGAGGACTGGCTTCTGCTTCTTCTTTTCAGGGGAAGACTGGAGGGGTAAAAGGGAAGAAGTGAGATTTGGGGGAACTGAAGGGGTAGAGGGCCCTTGATTAGTCTCTCTGGTTCCCCGTGGAGGTAGGAATGGTCATGCCCAAGGTGTAGGGTTCTGGGCCAAGTTTTCCCAGGTGACTATATAGGCCACCTTGTCTGGGTGTCCATGTGGTCCTGGGTGGAAAATGTATTCCTTAACCTGTAAGATAGTAGCAAGGTCAAAAGTCCCATCTCTTGGCCATCCTTTTTCAAATGAGGGACACACAGAGGAACAGAGATTCTGCCACTTTTTCTTTTCAACCTCCAGTGATAAATTACGGGCCCGTTCCATGACCTCCTTCCAGTGTTCCAGGGTTAAGCTTAAAGGGGTAGTTAATGATTGACCCATGATAGAGGACACAAGAGAGAGAGAGAGAAAGAGAAAAAGATGAAGATGCCACTCCAAACAATAGTGACCAGTGAGTGTGCTTGTGGACAGGTACCTATCGTTGCCCAGTTTTTCTTCTGCGAGGGACATGAATTTATCTGGGATTCATGCCTGGGACCCCCTTATCCTATCATGGGAGTCTTTTAGCGGCGAGCGCCCTGTGGCTCTTATTTGCTCGACCCGTGCCCGCGGGGCTTTTTAGTGGCTAGAGAGAAAAGGAGAAATAGAAAGAA